AGGCTCATCACGAGTCCAGTGCATGTTCGTCAGAGGATCCCACATCAGAGTATTTTCTTAAAGGTAAAATGGGACGAAAGATAAAACTTCAGGATGAGGATATTTGTATAAGCTTTAACTGTGATGGATTTGATCAAATGTTGTTTATTGTATACAACTCGTTTGTTTATTTTCACATGCACAAGAATAAATTGACTGACTCTAAACCACATTTTGCATATTTTCATTACGGCACTATTGTTATTAAAAAGGTTAAAATCAAGCAGGCAATCAAAAGTAAATGAGTATTTGATAAATATTTGTACTTGAATGTTACCTTTTTTAAATTATTATAATTTTCTTTATATTTTTTAATTAACTTTTTTTTAATTATTATTTTTACTCTGTATGTGTACCTGTGTACCCCCGATGTCAATGTGTTGTGTGTATTTAAAGTTTGATGTACGTATATATTTTCTTGAATATAGTAGAAAAAAAAGCATCACACATCAGAGAAAAGTCTTGTTATATCACTTTTTGACAAGTACTTTACTTTACATTTAATGTAAATAATACTCTTAAGTACAATTTTGAGTTGCTTGCACCTTTTATTTTCATTTTGCTTTATTATTCAACTGTATTACACTTTTTGCGAGGGGAACATCATGTACTTTGTAAAGTGTGTAGGCTACTGTTCTGCACATATCCCATTCAAAGATAGCTACTTTGCATATCAGGTTATTATATACTAAAAATATGCGGATCCTATAAAATGCACTACATTAACAAGGTGAATACCCAACAGTATTCAAAGTTGGTTGCTTCAATCTAAATGCTGCCTGCACATTAATACATAACTACAACCCACAAAATACAATCATTAGATAATATAACATATCTCTGTCTGTCTGCTGTGTCTCTCCTTACCCATTACCTACATGTTCGTGCGACCTGCATTTAAAACTCGACCTTGTAGCAGACAAAAAACACATAGCCCTAACCACTGCTTTTCCATCCGAGGCAAACAATGTCCCGTCAAAACAGTGCAGGAAAACACCCGGTGGTGGGGATGTTGACTGCATTACAGAGGACTTGTCATTCATTCAAGTGCATTCGACTGGAAATCATAACACATTCACCCTCAAACAAAAGACTTTTTCTTTAGTGATGTTCTTTTATTGTGTTCAAGAGAGACATAATATGTTGAATGGAAGAAGAATTGCTCAATAAGCACAGCAAAACATGTTTAGATGACTTATAGTTTAGCCAAAATCGTTGTTGCATGACAAAACAACCTCAACTGTTAGAACTCACTAAACATAACACAATGAAACATGTATTTACATATAATTGTTATTTTGATTTCGTCCTTACTCCCTCATTATCTATCCCAACTTGACGTCACTAATTTGAGGATCATGGAACATTTCCTCCTTCTAATTTCATTTCATTTCAAACCTTTATTTATACAGATAAATCCCATTGAGATCATTGATCTCTTTTTCAAGGGAGACCTGGGGGGTATACGAAGCAGGATTTTCGCTTAGCCGGCTAAATTCAGGGAAAACTCCGGCTTTCCGGTCCTACGAAGCTGGTTCTCTTTTTAGCAGGCTAGATCTCCATGGTAACTTATGCTTGGCGGCTAACCTGGTCGGGACCAGGTTAGGTTGCAGGCTAAGAGCTCAACTCAGTGAAAGCACTGCCTGCTGACCAATCAGAGCTCAGTGTGCGGAGTTTAAAGCGATCAAGTCATATTACAGGAGAAAGGAAATACAGAAAAGCTGCCGTTGCAGGAAAGACGGTCGGCAAAAATCACCGACTGTGTGAACGTGAACATTAATAGAATATCACCTCCCATCTTCAGAGCAATCTGACTATTATAACATTAGCGTTAAGAAAGCTTACTTAAATATCTGCCACAACATAAGTAACCGGATCAGAGTAACATTAACAGTCCGCTGCATATCACTTCATAATGTATCATATATCTCCTGATCTGAGTCAGCTGAGCCGTATCTGGCCGTGCAACACCCACAGTGTCACATAGGCCTACTGTATGCAGAAGTATTATTTTAAGCAACACATTAAGTTGACGAAACACTCAGATCCACTTGTGTTTTAGACGGGGCAGTGATATCATAAACCTGTTAATGTATGCAGGGCCGGTTCTAACACATTTGCTGCCCTAGGCGATATTTTTGCTGGCGCCCTCCCAGAGCTGACAGCGCAGCGCCCCCCAGATCTGGCGCCCTAGGCGACCGCCTATGCCAAAAACCGGCCCTGACTTAACCAAACAATTTATTTAATTTGTTATCACAATTACTAATGTCATGTTTTTTTTTATTCTTGAAGAGAATGTCTTTTTTCTGGCATTCAATGTAAAGTAAAATGCTTCAATCTGGTGCACTTTAAGCACACATTACTAGAGACTAGATCTAAGAGGTACAACTCTAAACACCCATATGAAAAAGATCGGTTTACATTTTAATAACCAAATATGTGAACATAACCAATAACCTACCATAGCCAATAACAAATTAATGTAACTTATTTTATTTTTGTTGTTCATTCATATCTTATTTTACCTAGTTAACATTTTATTTTTGCATATTTTTTTATCTCTCAACTTTTAAACGATATTTTTGGTTTACTGTACATTGAAATTATTTCAAACCTGTTTATCCCAATAATTATAAAGGAGTGCCTTGGAAATATTTGTTTACATAAATTGCATTTATCTCTCTTGCTCGCTCCCACGCCCACTTTCGCTGTGAGCTGCGGATGCCTGATAAGCCAACACCCCCCACTTTCATCACTTACAGCGCCCATCGTACAGGGCAAATGAAAAGTGTAACCTGGGTGAAAAGGGTGTTACATTTAATTAATTATGAATGTTGTTACATCAAGGCTGAAAATTAGGATGAGCGCAAACAGTCAAAAATGTTTTCCCTCATACGATTCTTATGCTGGAGCCTGAAGGCAGCATTTCACAAAGGAAGGAGTGGTGCTCACATCTGTTTTATAATTCGTCAATCGGTGACTTTTATGCCCCGGCCACACGAGGACGAAAACGGCTAAACGCATAGGATAACGCAAACGCAATCGCAAAAAACCTTCCGTCCACACGCAAGAGCCATCCGGATAGTGTCTGTCCACACGAGACAGCTCCGTTTAGCTCCAACCGCTGGAGAAGCTGCAGTACATATGCAGGAGCCTGTACGTGGCGCTGTAACTTCCTCCACAAAAGCAGCGAAGAAGCATGGTTGTCATGGTTGTCCTTCTGTTTATTCTCCGCGGTGGGGGCCGAGGGAACCGGGCAGAGTTTTTCGCCAGTAAACGTGTATTAAAGTTTAAATCTTCCGACAAAATTATAAAAGTGCCGGTCAAAGGTCTTCTTTGTTATTTATTGAGCTTTAAAACAAATGAATAACGACTCTATATAATATAATAATAAAATACACGGAGCCTCTCTTTTTCCTCCTTCTCTTCGGACAGCGCCAGTGTCTGTTTCATGCAGCAGCTGATCCAGTAATGAGTGACCCGGCCGACAGTAAAAATAAACATATTTATAACTAGTTTAGGTAGTTTGAGAGGTGTCTCCGTCCTGTCAGATTAGACTTCACTCGCGTTTATGTCCATATCGAGAGAAAGATAAATAATCTGAATTCAGTTTGCAGTTTACTTTGACGCGGGGGTGAGCAGCAGAGGTGGGGAGAGGCGGGGCTATTGCCTCATCATTATCAGAAAATGATCGTATAGGGCGTACACACGGAGCCGTTGGACCCCCCAGAGCGTTGTGTATGCCGTTCTATCCACCTTGGGACCCGTTATCGTTTCCGCAGTCGTTTAGTGCCTTATTCGGTCGTCCTCGTGTGGCCGAACGGTCTATATGACACTAAACAGTAACGCAAACGACCGTTTTCGTCCTCGTGTGGCCGGGGCATTAAACTACGCTATCTGAAGAAAAATAACAAAGAAAAATCGAATTCGTAACTTCAAAATATGTATTTTTTGTGTTTTAATTTGTTTTTGTCTTTAGAGAAATATACAAGTTACTGACAGTTATATTACACCTGTTTTCTACTTCCTCGCTAGTAGCCAAACACGTGACCTCGACTTAATAAAAGATTAGATAGGAGGATTGTCAATGTCAATAAAGAGAAAAACAGCAACATTCAAGTTAACTTGTGTTTGTGTTTTTAGCTTTCACTCCAACAGTCAATAACAGGCTTTATCATCGACCTCCTTCAACGATGTGAAGTAAACAAATGTCTTTACGTTGTGCTCATTAGTCAAATGTTGTACTGCAGGTAGGTTTTCTAACTTTTTATAGCAGTCAGAATATAATCGATATGTCGGTTGCTTCTGTTGTTTTTATTGTTAAGATAAAAAAGAAAAAGGCACATGCTGTGTTTGCACGAGGTAAACAAATATCTAGTAATGGTCTTATGGTACTGAAATCCCTCACTCCTTTCATGGGAAAGACATGGTCCGATAAATCGAAACACATTAGACACTTCCATTGATATCTGGGCAGCCTGAATGGTGTCCAATGCAATGTAATATTTTATAAAAATCATTGAGACCAGTGCTCAGATGTACAATAAAATTGAAGTGTTGATAACATTTTTACTTTTGATGAAATAACTATTTATTTGATGAGTTATGGACTATTTGTTGACATATTGACACCTAGTTTTATGTATGATTAAACAGCGCCATCTGCCGTATACTACTATAATAACATACAATACATAACAGAAATTGGTGTTTTGTCCTTATCCTTTTATAAGGTGATTCGATGCGCTTTTGTTATAATGTTTAACTCCCCCTCCCCCTTACACGGTAAAACGCTAAATCTGATCCCAGTTAATCGAAGAAACTGGAAACTGGGGGGCTTTAGGTAAGGGGCTAGCGTACTTGCTTGTGCCCGAACAATTCATTTAAGACAGGCTCCCACTGGGACCAATCAGAATAGGCCTTGAAAAACAAACGTCGAATGACCGGCCGCCGTACACTTTGTAGGCGGGACTTCCGTGTGGGTGTGTAGGAGACTAGTAAAAGGAGGTCAAATGTTCTACAAGAGTTTGCAAGCGTGAAGCTGTGGAGGAAAGATTTACAGGTAGACAATTGTGTTGGAATTACACTTGAAGATATAATCTACACTGTCGTTATTAGAGAATTGATTCAGAAAGAAGGCGGTGTTGAGTGTGGTACTTGTAGACATTTGACTCATAACGTTAGCTAGCTTGATGCTAAAGACACATGACGCGTGCTCGTGGACATCTCCTTAACTAATGTTACTTTGCAAGAGTCAAAGTATGACTTTTGCTGGACATAAATCCGTGTTTTTACCCGTATAAAGGTTATGCGTTGTGCATCTCAACATACCATTTATCATTAGCTGAGAAGTTTGTTAGCTAGCTGCTGCACTTTGCTGAAACTAATTTGTTTTTGGAAACTTGTCTCACGGTAACGCTGCTGGCATGTTTCACTCTATGCCCCGTCGTCCGATCTGTGAGATCGGTGTAACTACATTAAAGCTTCAAAGCGGCAGGACATTCAGGAGAACAGTCGAGGAGGGCAGAGGAAAGCTTGAGAGTCTCCTCCCATGGCTGGATAGGCGCATGGGCCTGCTGCTGTCCTGGCTGCAGAGGGCAGGTGTCGGTGCCAGTGAGGCTGCTGGATCCGTACAGAAGAGGAAGGGCCTGCTCTCCATATTTGCCGATCACTGCGGCTTTGTAACCGGACAGAGGCTCCGGCGTTCGTGCCAGATCGGAGAGCTTTATTCTAACCTGTACTCCGAGCGTACCAGGTGGACCCTGGTTGGTAACCTATGGCGCAGATTTCAAAGCAAGAATGCACCCAGTGGGAAGCTGTTCGCGGCCCTGGCTGGTATATTCATGTGGGATAGTGAGAAGATTCAAGATGAAGACATTCACAGGTTTGTAATTATACATAAATTAATATTTAGAAAATGGCAAGAAAAGACATTCAGCTTCTGAACAGATGTCAGTGAATAATGAAAGTCATGTGAACATGCTATTGTTTTCACATTATCAACATCTTGATCCAGTTTAAATTATTCCAAGAACAGACAATATTGTTTTCCTACCATTTGCATTTGAAATTCAGCATTCCATAATAATGTCAATATAATCTGTATTGTTACCTGGGCCCTCTGTTGTTTGCATCTATTTGAAGGTGTGGACTTGAACTACAAGAAATAGAGTCTGTCAAAAGTCAAAACACAGCTTCAGGGACAGCTTCCAGACTTGAACCTGGCTGGGAAGTTGTGATGGATAAAAAAGGCTTCAAAGTGTGGAAGCGACCCATACCTGACAGTCACCTCTACGAATACAGAGGTCAGCTAACTCACAATCTCACATATGTAGCCAGGCTCTCTGGAACGCAGATAATAAAAGCACACATTTAACTCTGAGTTACTTTTGTGCTTGGAGCTTTTTCATGGTACTTTGGTGGTGGTGATATTGTTGGTCTGAAGTCGGCATGCTTTTTATTTATTTTTTAACAGTGTTGGGCTCCTACAACGATGTCACCCCAAGGCAGTTCTTCAATGTACAGGTACAAACTTTTCAAATGTTGATATGTGCTACTATGAATGTTTCTGCTTTAATTAATACAAAACATATGTTCAAAAGATTACTTATTCTACTGAGATGCTGGCTTATAATCAGAAAAACGCCAGGAGGGATCAGCAATCTTAATCTCTTATCAGGGTTTTGGATTTGCTGCAATCTCCTCCCTTAGGAATTCTGACTGATGAACTGTGTATTACTGAAGTAAAAGGCAACTGGGAATGTTTATCATTTTGTTAAAGCAATTCATACAGCATTGGGACTTTTATTTTTTCATGGGTTATGTTTATGGTATTTATATTGCAGCCCGTTTTACATTTCTATTTTCCAGCTACTATTGCGCAACCAGCATGTTTGCACTGCAGGACAAAAGCAACCGTAAATCTCGCTCTGTGTGCTATATTAAGCACCCAACCCTTGACTTATGCTTTCCCCCAGTTGGATACAGAGTACAGGAAGACGTGGGACGCACTGGTTATCAAGCTGGAAGTGGTGGACAGAGATGTCTCTACAGGCTCTGAAGTTGTGCACTGGGCTACACACTTTCCTGTGAGTTTTTCCCGGCAATTTGTCCTACATAATGTGTTAACAGTGAGGTTTTATTTGTTTGATGTCCTATCAGAGCTTCTGTTAGCCGGTTAGACTGTTAGACTCTAAATCGAAATCTCTCCAGTCAAAATAATTTCCCCATAGCACAATACCACATCGGTTGCGCCACTTATGTGACAGACAAGAATAGTATGTGACAGACAAGAATAGTCAATTCTAATGTCTAACACGTAATGTGGAGAAAGAGATGTCCTGTATGGGTTGATTGTGCGTTGATCTGTTGGTAATGCCTCGGGGTTCCGGTGGGCATGTAAACAAATGCATAATGCTGCACTATGCTTTGCGGCCTCACCCGGTTGCATAGCGACGCTTATTGTTTAGGTGTCTTTTAATAAGCAGGTAGTCATATCATTAGCTAGAACTAGCTGGATCTGATCGATATGGACATAAACGCAAATGAAGTCTAATCTGACGGGAGAGAGAGATCAGCTGCTGCTGACGAGTCGACACGCAGCTCTGCATGATCACATGCAGCGGTGAGCGGACAAAACACACACTTCAGGTTAGAAAATCACACTTAGCTATTTTAATTACCTCTCAAACTACCGTAACTAGTTATAGATATGTTTAGTTTTACTGTCGGGTCACTCATTACTGATCCGCGAGCTGCATGATACTGAAGGGCTGTCAGGAGAGGAAGAGAGCGCTTCGTTTATTATTCCCGTGTTATTGTAAGTTACTGTACACTTTTGAATAGTTAATCTACTATTATTAGTTTGTTTAATATCGAATCATATCAATTTGTTTTAAAGCTCAATAAATAACAAAGAAGACCTTTGACCGGCACCTTTCTCATTTTGTCCGGAAGATTTAAACTTTTAACGGACATGTTGACCGGCAAAAAAAAATTCTAACGGAAACTCTGCGTCCTATATATATTCATGTTGGAGGAGCCTGTGACTTAAGTTTTTCATTGCCATATCTACACTGTGGCTAATGTGCATATGACAATAAAGCCTTGAAACTTGAAACTTTTCCTTTGATGTGTTGTACAAGCAAAGTATAACCTTGGCTTATCAAGTGGTCTTTTTTACTTAAGATTGTCAGCTGCTAACCTTGTTTAATCCCCCCCCCCCACAGTATCCCATGTACTCAAGGGACTATGTGTACGTGCGCCGCTATGATGTGGACCCAGAAAACAACTTGATGGTTCTGGTATCCAGGTAGGACTTAAAAAAGAATGTATCTTGATTCAAATGTGCTGTATTTTTTATACATTAATAAAGTAGTTGCGTCTGTATTTTTCAGACTCTTTTAATATTTGTAATTCTGTTGTTTTAGAGCCGTCCAGCATCCCAGAGTCCCTGAGACTCAGGAGTTTGTAAGGGTCCATTCATATGAGTCAAAGATGGTCATCCGCCCTCACAAGTCCTTCGATGAGGTTTGTCCTGCATCTGTTGTGACACAAATGTATTTAATTTGCATCCAGGGTCCTTTTGTAGCCATTGAGTTTGACGTATGTTTTCTTTACAGAATGGATTTGATTATCTGCTGACCTACAGTGACGACCCTCAGACAGCCTTTCCCCGTTACTGCGTGAACTGGATGGTGTCAAGTGGTGAGCTCTTTTCACTGGTTAAAACTACTTTGGGCCGCATGGAACCATTACGTTTGATCACATTTAATTACCTGTCTATCAACTGTCAAGCAGCAAAGTATTCCCATAACCACCAAATTCACACACTTTAGATCCTTACACAAGTAATCTGGACATATTAAGCATTTTTATTGCGTTCATATTTCTGCATTTTTATATCTATATGTATTTATTTATAGAAGGACCATGCATATAAATACATTAATCTCAGCAAAGAGAAGAGATGCAATATGCCAGATTATAGCTAATTTCCATTTATGCTTTCGTATTCACTTTTCGCATTCAATATTTTCCTACCGAGTATTGTACACCTGACACTAAGGAGGCTCTCCCTTTGTGCCTCGCAGGTATGCCTGATTTTCTAGAGAAGCTGCATAGTGCCACCTTGAGGGCCAAGAACTTGGAAGTGGGGATCTTCGACTACGCCAGTGTCATCAAATCCAGTGACGCCAACCGCCAATCGAGCCAGGAGCGTCTCGGAGGAGAAAAGTCACACAAAGGTGGTTCTGGACAGATCTACGCTTGAGATGGATATTATATAGACCTGGGGTTATGTTGGTGTGTTTTCACGTGCACTTGAACTTCAATTATACCCTCCAGCCCAACTTTTAAGTAAATTGCATGAACTGCAAATGGAAGTTGTAACCTACGTTAAAGACAAGTAAATAATATGTCCATCCGTAGACATGGCCAAATCGGTGATAGGTGAGCTGTCACAAGAACAATGGACTGTGAAGGCAGCATTACTGTGCTTTGGTGCAACCGTTTCTGTGGAGATTTTCATTCAGACTGCTGACATTGGCCCTATAAGGGCCTAACTACGCAGGTTTATTATTTGCCTCATTTGGTAATGATGTATTTCTTGTCAAGATCGAGCCAAAATTCCTAATTGTAGAGATGCTTTTGCGAAAAAACGTCCTCTCAATTGTCATTCTATGTCTATGTTCGACAAGGCTCGAGTTTAAAGGCTGTTCAGACCGCAGCCACAATACTGTATTACTGTAGGTGTGTTTTCAGAGAGATGTTGTTGAAATGGACATGAAACATGAACTGACGTCTAATAGACATCACTGAAACAGAAAACTGTAAACCTACGGCCACAATTTCTGTACTGACGATGAAGAATTGAGGCCTCTGCGGGGATTTCTTTCTACCACTCATGGATTGTAGCATGGCTTATTGCTCTTCATTGGACTGGATGGGATGGAATACAAAAAAAGATATAATGATGCTATTATTAGAAAATGTGTGCGTTGACAAAACGGCCTTCTGAAGATGAACCAGTCCTTCAGCAATATGGGCATAGTGTCTTACAACAACAACAACAACATAAATCCTCAAATACAATTGTACTGATGCATTTCTCCAAGACACATTTAATGAGTAAATGCCCTTTTTAGAGAAATTTGAAACACCCACCACCATCCTTTTCCATTTCATGTGTTCTCATATATATATATATAATATTATTTTTGTTATGGTGTCCACTACAGACATAACTGGAGTTTGTACTTTTGAAATTATTGGTGTGTTTTTTTCTTTGTGTTACTCTAGATCTTGTACATTCATAAAAAAGAACATTGCCTGGAAACTAAAAATCCCTTCTCACAAGCTCTGTAACATGTTTGTCCTGCATTTTGATTTCTTTGGTTTTTGTTATTTACGTGGCTCTACTGAAACTATAATCCATCCTTCCTAGTCATCCTTGTTGTTTTTGTAATTCATTTGACAACCCAGTGTTGTGAATGTACCAAGAGCTTCACATGATGTGAAATAAAACCTTGCCTAATCAAATACACAGTTTACAGCCTGACAATCTGTCAAAAATATATTGAAATGAATTTGTGTTTAAAAACATCCCATCTTGCTCTACAATGTTGTGTCATCAATAGTCATGTGGTACATCTGAGTGAATACGCAGATAAAGCAGAATTAGTATAAAAAATTATATCATTTTTTTTGTAAAATTCTGAAATGATATTTCCAGCTATTTGATTCATAAAAATGTCAGTGTAAGCTGTGATATACAGATATGTTGAAAGTGTGACAGTTTTTTTATATTTATCTTTTGTGGTCAAACAACATGGACTCACGATATATTAACCAATTAAACATTGTGTTTGCTAATGTTCAGTTTGCGAATGTATCTGCTAATGGTCTGCCATTTGCTGACGGCTTTGTGCCATCTGCCATAGTCTAGAAGAGTTGTCGCATAATGCTTTTGTGTTTTCTTTTAGCAGGCAGTATAAAGTGGGTTGTAATTTGCTTTCACATGAGAATGAATTGGGGACAGAAAAATAATTGTGTGCACTTATTACCCTGTGATTTCAAGACTGATTGAAATGGAATAGCGAATAATCAGATCAAATAAACATTTTCATCTGTGTCGTACTGGGTTCAGCTGTTCATTGCAGAGCACTCTTGGATTTGACCTTGTTTAGATAAAATGGTGATTAGCCTTGTGTTTGTGCGAAGCAGCCAACGTAGTCCTGTCTAATGGGATAATCTGTAAACCCCACTCTGCCTGTCTGGGCAAAAGGTCAGTGACTGACTGCAAAGAGGCTCCGCAGTTTACTGAACACTCTGACAGCTCAACACGTCAGCCTGGAAGTTACTCTAATGGCTAAATCTGTTTTCCTAAACCAAATGAACTACCTATTACAGTATGTGCTGTTCATATCATAGAGTACTGACAGTATGCACTACTTATGATCATAGTGTACTACATAAGCTGTCAAACTCCACGTAAAACCTGCTTAAAATCAGATTGGCATGGTGGATCGGATGTTATAAATGTGAGAATCTAGCATTTTTTAATAAGATGTGATATTTTAAGCATACTTTAAATATAGATTTATTTCATGATTTTGTTAAAAATAAGTAAAGGACCACACAGAAATACTTCGGTGTTGATAGGTTTTTGTTTTGAGAGGCTTATTGAATTATGTTTATATTTACTACTTGAAAGAAACATGTGCTGATTCTGTTTGCCGAGATAATCTTCGAAAGTTCTTATATTGATTTTTGACATGTAACAGTTTGTGTAAATACTAAATGATTGATGGCTGAATTCCTTCTGCAGTTCAGGGTTCTTTATTAACTGGGACACTTAACTACAGCAGAGCCATCCTTAAAGGAGACACCTATCATGGTATATTTAAATGATATATTGTAGGGCCATAAGGTATATTTATACGTTTCTGTTTTCAAAATACCAGACAGATCATGCATTTTAGCCATGCCTCATTTCGCTCTATTTGCTGTTCTCCAGCCCTGTTTTTGCAGGGGGCTGATTCTGTGAGCTGCAGCTGGCCACGCCCCCCTGCAGGAGAGGGGAGCGTGCTCTGATCAAGTCAGAAGAGGGGGAGAAAAATAGATCTCCGTCCTCCGTGTTTTATTAAATTATTATATAGAGTCGTTATGCATTTGTTTTAAAGCTCAATAAATAACAAAGAAGACCTTTGACCGGTACTTTTATAATTTTGTCTGGAAGATTTAAACTTTAACGGACATCTTGACCGGCGAAAGAAAACTGAAACTCTGCTGCACGGTCCCCTCGTTCCTTGGAAGAGGCGGAGAGGTGGGTGCTTGTCATCTGCTGGTGGACTAACCGGAGAGAATGACAGTGCTTGCCTCGACGGGGAGGGATTGCATTGAATTACAGCAGCGGGAGCAAACGCTTGCCTCGGTGAGGGAGAAAAAGAGCCACGGCGGAGAATAAACAGAAGGGCAACGATGGCAACCATGCGCGGGAATTCTTCTTAGCTGATTTTGTGGCAGACTACAGCGCCACTTACAGGCCTGGCATATGTACTACAGCGCTTTCGAGCAATATTGTCTGTATGCTGACCACAGCAAGGAGGCGGATCCTAAAGGGGGTGGATCCTATAGGGGGGGGGGCGTTTCCTAAAGGGTTATGAGCCCCGCCCCCACGTATTTCTTAAAGGTATATGACGCTCTGTTTCTCATTTATTTTAATGCTTTGAATGAATCATAAACGAACTTTGAAAAATAATAATTATAATTCATTTGCATAAAGAATGAAGAGTATACAACCCAGAGAGAAGACACATTAATTGACCTATTGACAGATCATAATTAATACAGAGTCAATTTGATAGTTTATCATAACATAGGATGCATTAAACTCATAAATTGTAGGCATATCATTTTTTACTGTTTGTGCAGTGGTAGTAATTATTATTCAAATCAATCAACTACGTTTTATGGAAGATATTGCTGTATATCATTTAACAACATGAGTAGAGGTTTCTGTACACCTAAAATACTGAAGTTGAAGTTACTGTCCTGATGTGTATCATTCATTTGTTCATGTTGTGTCTGGTGGTAAGATTGATTAATTAATTAATTAACGTATTTATTATTTTTGAAACATTACAATAGTTAAAGGCTAGCCTTTAAAGTGTTAAAGTAGTAATAGTCTGTCCTTTAGCACAGTTACATATCTGCCCGGTACAAATGTTTAAGTGAACAGCTTGACCTGTATCTGTTTTTGTGTACTTGTCTAGGCGGATGATGTGTCCCTTCAAAATGTGGCAGGCAAGACAGTTTTCTGAATCTTACATCAATGATTGCTATTAAAAATCATTGCTATCTGAAACATTAAAATACAACGTTATTTAATTTTCAACAGTGTAAGAGAATCAGACCATACGATTTTCATCAGCATCCTGGGCTGTACAAAGAGCAGTTAGCACTGTTGAAAAAAGGACAAATATATGAGAGAAGTATACAAGTGTATTTTGTATAACATGTAAAGCCTAGAAACACAATATTTGTATGCACAAATTACTCAAGTATAAAGACATCAGCCCATTGTGTCCGATGACAGCGGAAGGAGAGAGCTGGTTAGGAAGGCGTTCCATAACTTAAGCATTGGTCTGTTTATAGGAAAACATATGCAGCACTGTGCAGTTGTGAAGGATGCAGGACTTAAACTTAAGTATGATTAAAACGAGCTACGCCATTACCCTCTCGACAACAAATAAATTATTATTATTAACAGACAGAACAGACGTGACTAGGAACTCTCAAGTAAACACGTGGCTCATAACCCTTTAGGAAACGCCCCCTTTAGGATCCTCCCCTTATAGGAACCGCCCCCTGCCTGCGGTCTGCATCCAGACCTGATCCAGACCTGATCCAGACCCATCTCCTTTCGAGCGGCAATGGCCCAATAGAGTCTGTATGCAGACCACAGCAAGGAGGCGGATCATAAAGGGGGCGTTTCCTAAAGGGTTATGAGCCCCGCCCCCCACTTATTTGTGGCCCAACCCGGCCCAACCCCACATTGATTGATTGATTGAAAAGTTTATTAACAGCTTGTATATTGGGTACAGTACAGTACAGCTCAAAACATACAATTGTTAAGGGGATGCAGACCAGAGAAAGACTTTTGTCTTGTTTACATCAGGGTCCCCCATTTCCAATTCATCATGTCATTTAAGACATATAAGACATATTTGACATACAGATGGCTTATTTACAATTTACATACAGGTGGTTTTTTACATACAGATTGCTTATTTACAATTTTCATTTTAGATTTCGTTCTAATACATCCTAACCGGACATTTAAGACATACCAAGTCTACAGATATACAGTTAGTAACAGAGTCTAAAATGCGAGTATATACATAGATGGTGGGGGGGGGGGGAAGCTGTCCATTGAACGACAGGTTGAGATTTGTACCATTACCGGGGCCAGTTTTGCAATGCTCTCCCCCGAAGGGGCTCTTTAAGAGAGGTTTTGAAGGTAAGTATAGTTTTACTTTCCTTTACAGTTGTGGGAAGAGCGTTCCACCTTGATGTGGCATAATTGCGAAACGTGTATTCCCCCTTTTTTGTGCCAAATCTGGGTTTCACATGATTTGTGGAGCTCCCTCTGGTGTTATGATCATGGTATTCCTTGACCTTTGGGACGAATTTTGACATGTACATGGGTACCATAGAGGTGTAGTGGATCTTGTAGACCAGGCCCATTGCAAGTAGCTGTACTCTGTCGTCTACTCTAAGCCATCCTAGGTTGTCAAAGTGGGCAGAGGTGAGGTGGGTTCTAGATGAAAGGTCAAGCAGTAGTCTGACCAGTTTATTTTGCGATGTTTGAAGTTTTATTTTTAGCGCCTTGGAGGTGCTATGGTACCATGACGTGCAAGCATAGTCATAGTACCCTTGAATGAGTGCTCCTGCCAGAGTTTTCAGGGTGTTTTTGTTTACCAGAGAGGAGATCCGGTATAGGAATCTAGTTCTTTGATTGACTTTTTTATTACATTGGATGCCATTTTGTCACAGGAGAGGTTTGCCTCAAGAATAGATCCTAGGTATGTAATTTCCTTCTTACTTGTGACAATAATGTCGCCCACTGCAACTGAGAAGTCGTCGGATTTGCTGAGATTATGTTTCGAACCGAAGAGAATGGACTCTGTTTTACCCAGGTGTAATGATAATTTATTATCGGCGAGCCAGGTGCAGATTCTGCCGAGCTCGGAGCTGAGGGTTTTTTCAACCTGCAACCTGTTCCTGCCAGAGACCAGCAGGGCTGAGTCGTCCGCGAACAGGAACAAGTTGCAGTCACATGCTGATGACATGTCATTTACATAAATTAGGAACAGTAACGGACCTAATATGCTTCCTTGTGGAACACCACAGCTCACTGGGAGGGGGGGGACAGAGTACCGTTTACCTCCACCATCTGTTCTCTCCCCTCCAGGTAGGATTGCATCCAGCTCACCGATAGTTTATCAAAACCAATTGCTTTTAGCTTGTCAATCAGAATGGGGTGATTGACAGAGTCGAAAGCCTTTTGTAGGTCCAGCATCACCATGCCGCAGTACTTGCCCTCGTCCACCTCTTGTTTGATGTGGTCGCTCAAATAAAGAAGGCATGTGTCAGTGGAGTGGGATGTTCTAAAGCCAGATTGAAATATTCCCCTGATAGGTGGAGAGTTGGTCCAATAGCCGTAGCGCCACCGTCAGGACAGTGTTGAAATCGCAAATCTGGATCAGTTTTTATCAGATCCGTCGCAGCCCCTTTTTTTTTTTAGAGATTTGGGTATGGAGGAAAATAGAGAGGGTTGGGTTTTCTGACACTTGGTGAGTTCCCTGGAACACCGGGGACACATAGCCTATTCATGTATAAAAGACGTACAAAAATGCACTAATGCTTTTCGTTGACAAGAAAATTGTCTAATGGTAAAAACAATTCTATTGAATTTTTTTTCTTCCAGAAATGCATTTTATTAATTGCATTTTGAAATAATAAAATATAAGAACTGCATTTATGATGGTATATATAATTTAGGAATTACATGAACTCATCCACGGGGAGAGTGCAATCCCATACACATAAAGCAAAACCAAAAATAGACAATA